TATATATATATATTTATGATATATCAGTGTCATTAAAATATTTAATTAAATTAAAATAATATTTTAATTAAAAGATTCATGCCACTCAATAATAATTATAATAATTATTTAATTAATTAAATGTTTTTACATTAAATTTATTGGATTATAATCGCCATCTTACAATTAGTCGTCAAAGAATTCGACAGTTGTTTGAAAGATATTGAACCAAAAATAAAGACTATTTGAAGAAACTAACAGATGTATGGTTACTTTATAAATAAATACGAAATTTCTTTAAAAGATATCGAATAAATAATTACACCTGATATTTTTTAACTTGTAATTACAAATAATTAATTAATTAATAATTCATAATTAATTTCTGAAATGAGAATCTAGAATCATTGATCCTAGGAGGGAATTTTAACGCTCGCATAAGTAGTATCACTTATTTATTACAACATTTCTATTCATACGATTTAAAATTATTATTAGAAAATTGTAAATTATTATTCGCGACTATAAAGCTAAAAATACATGTATTACTTGTTCATTAGTTTCAATTTATAATAATTAAATTTAATGTGAACCTAATTTCTTTGAGAATAACGATTAAATATAATTATAATAATCACGATTTTTGTCATGTCTAATTATAATTGAAAAAGAGGTAGAAAAAAAAAAAACAATGGATCATACAAATAAAAGAATAGATTCTATGTAAATGGATGAAAACAATTAGAAGATTTCTTGAGAGGAACGAACCAGTTCTCATAAAATAAAAGTATGTTGACTTTCATCTGATAATGATAACAATAACAATATTACGCCCGAATTCGCGCATACAATCATTTTTCGTTGAAATCTCTAATCACCATATGTACATACACGTGTGCGTGTGTACAGAACTAGTCAAAAGTTCTCAATTGTAAAAATAAATAAATCATTTTCGAGAATAATTAATTTTGTAGATTTATAATTGTAAATAAAAACATGAATTAGGTCTGAACAAATTTGAAAAAAAAAAAAAACGAACACATACTTCGGCAATCTACTGTCATCATTGGGGATCTTCGATAATCACATAGAAACTTTTAACCCACCCTGTATATTTATATATACATGTGTATATGTATATATGGTCGATCAGGAAAGAGCAAAATCGTCTCTTTCACTTCGCCGTTCTCTTCGCATCCCGTTAGAGATCTCGTAACGGTAAATGCAGCCTGTTGATCCTTGCATCGATCCTTGAATCTTCCTCTTTCGAATGGCAAATCTTCTTTGAGTTTCTCGATCGAATATTTTGATAGACCAAATAGATTTCAAATAATATCTATTATTTGGTTCGATTTTATAAGTGCAATTAATTTGTCATTGTAATCGTCGATATCACTTTCGTGTATTTTATTACGAACATATATATATCTCGAAAGTATATTAAATGAACGAAAAAGTAAATATTTTTGTGTAAACGTGAAAACAAAAAAATACATAATTATATTAACAAAATAAAATTATTTTTCTTTTTTTTTTTTTTTTTTTACAACGTCTACCTATAAATTTTACCACTTTAGAATGAAAAAGTAATTTCAGTTTGAAGTAGTATTTGTTTTCTTTTATTAGACAATTTATCCAAATTTAACTTCTGTATATATACATTTTTACACACACACACACACAATCATTAATATTTTTGTGAATTTATATAAAAAAAAATATGCATATATGTATATTTCTCATTTACAATCTTAATATTTGTGTGTATATATTGAAATATACATAATTATAAAAATTTCTATGTAAACGTGAATACAAACCGATATAAGAGGATTTGTTAAAAAAGCATCAAGCCTTACAGCTCAATTTTGATTATTTTTCTCTTTTAATAAAAGTTAACTGGACCGATAAAAAAAAAAAATGGTTTGTTCTATGTTAGGCTCAAAACTTACCTACCCATTCACGTTTATACTTTAATTTACCATTAAAATAAAAGAAAGAAAAAATTTCTACAAACATTTCAAAAAAAAAAAAAAAAAAGAAAGGAAAAGAACTTGAGATATTTTTTAAAGAAAAGAAAAAAAACAACAAAGTAAAATGAAAACGTGAATAGCGTAAAAATAATGTTTCTTAGAAATAAATTTGTCTTTTGAATAAAATAAGGTAATATTATGAACAATTATTGCTTGTGACTCTTAATCGAGGAAAAAACAAAAAGGATTAATGATATTTCAATTGAAATGGAATGAATGAAGTAGGAGAGGAAGCAGGAAGCAGCAGGTGGAGTTTTGTAGACAGGAAAACAGGGAGATACGCGTGAGTGCGCACACACATGTTAGTTTCGACGAATTTTTAATGTTGG